TTAGCAGTTTGATTACACTATGTCTAAATAAGCTTGTGTTCCTGTTTGGCGTTCATGGATCTTCTTGAATCTATAAATTTATGGCTTTCAGTTTGGAAAGTTCTTGATTTTCATTTCTTCAAATGTGTTTTTTTTCCTGGTCTCTTTTCTTTCTCTGTGAGATTCCAGTAACACAGGTACTAGACCTTTGTTATCCCCCAGGTGTCCTTGAGTGTTTGTCCTTCACATTGGGTGCTCTCTGAGATCTGTTTTAAAGTTCACTGGCTCCCCACTGCTATCTTCACTCTGCTTTTGAGCGCACTGAATGAGGTTGTTTTTAAATGACACACATTGAGCTTTTCACGTCTACAATATCCATTTGTTCTTTTTTGGTTTATCTGCTAACAATGAAAATCTTTTCATTCCAACTGTGCTTCACTTTATCTTGTTTTAACAGAAAGCATAGTTCGAATAAATGCTTTCAATTCTGTGATATATCCAGTATGTGGGCCATCTCAGGGTTGGCATCTTTTGATTGTTTTTACTTGGAGAAAAAAACACATTTTCTTAGTTCTTTCTATGTCAAATTGTATCTTGGACATTGTGAATGTTATGTTGTGTAAATTCCAGGGCCTGCTATAAACTTTCTTGTTGTTAAGTGCCATTGAGTTGGTTCCAACCCATAGTGACCCTGTATATAGGGTTTCCAAGGAGCAGATGGTGAGCTTGAACTGCCGATCTTGTGGTTCATACTGACTTTGCAGCACAGTGTATTAACCGCAGCGCCATACTAAGACAACTCTAGACCATGTTAAATAAATCTCTTTAGACTCAGACTGCAAGTTCCTGCTTCACCTTCTATTCTATATGTATTGTCTTGAATCTTGCTTCAGTTCTTGAAGTTGGGTTGCAGTAATTGTTAACTACTTGCTTAGTTCTGAGGTAAGCCTGAGACTCATGTGCAGTCATGCACAGAATTTGGATAGTCTTTTCTGGCTCTCTTCACTCAGGATTCTCTCCTTACTCTTCAGCTTGCAGGGTCTCCTTTACCTGGTTCATCTGGCCAGAAAGACCTTAGCCATCCCTACAACCACTGCAGCAGTGTTGCCCTTGATTGGAGCCCACCGTCAGGGCAGTCATCCCAGACAGTCAGGAAACTGCAGGTTTTGCCCTCCACAACTCAACTGCTTTTGTTGCTTTTTAGAATCCCGAGGCAGCAGGTTTTCATACTATATTCAGAGTTTTGGGGTAAAACCAGTTAGAATGGGTTGACTTATGTATTATCTGACATAATAACAGTTATGTTCTTTGATTTCTTTTGACACAGATTATTTAGAATTGTAGTTTGGGGTTTGCTTTTATTTTCCAAGAGGTTATATATTAATGAGTCCTTAAGTTACACTAACTACAATGATATTTTTACTGGAAAAGAAGCAATGTTGGAGACAAAAATCGTTGGAACCTCAAAGAGAATTTAATTTAACCAGAGTCAGAGTAGATTTAAAATGCCTTTCTTAACTCTTGATAGAGTAAATATAGAATTTTTAGGTGGTGGTGGTGGTGTGTCGTGGAGTCGGTTCCAACACATAGCGACCCTGCATAGGGTTAAATGTTTACGTGAGCAGAAAGGCTGACCTTGAGGTTAGCAGTCCAGCTCGTAACCACTGTGCTACCAGAGCTTCTGTAGAATTCAAGTAGCAAAGTTAATTGACTCAGTTATGCTTCAGCTTATACAATTATGACTGATTGTATACAGATAACTTGATTCCTGATCTTTTCAGCTGTTTGTCTTGTAAAACATTGATTTCCAATCAAAACAAAACGAAAGGTAAGTAAGCCATGTTGGAAATCTCAGTCTCCAAATTGTGAGACTGTATGTATCTAGGACTACAGCCGAAACGGAGTCAGAAGTTTGGATGTTTTTTTGTTTTTTTTTCCTGATTATCCTCAGAAGTCCCTGATGTGTCCCAGATCATGTGGTGACTGCCACTGTTGTTGTTAACTCATAGCCACCATGTGTAAGGTTTCTGAGGAGTGACTGGTGAGTTGGAACTACTTACTTTGTGATCTAGTGCTTGCCTGTAGCAGTAGCAGCAGATAAACTGTTATATTGTGAAGATCACAGAGGCCAAGTGGTCTGTCTTCTCAGTCTGTTCCTATGAAAGAGAACTCCTGGTTTAGCTGTCATCGGAGTTTTACAGCTAGAGAATATTGGTTTCGTCCCTGGTTTAATGTTCTCTGCCTACCCTCACAGCACTGAGTCTCAGAATGGATTTCTTCTCAGTATACTTGGTAGATTAGGGGAGGAGTGAGGCTGGGCTGAGAAAGCTTGCCATCATCTGAACCTCACTTTATTTGAAATATGGAGAGCTCCCAGGAATTCTCTGCTGCTGCTGATTTTTAAATAGCTTTTTAGATACTTGTTTAATGAATCAGGTTTTGATTTATCAATTATGCAACTCAAGTTCATTGCTTGGATCACTTGAGGAAGGTTAGTAAAGGAGCCTAGCCAGGTTTATTAGCTAAGGCAAACTACTGCTTGGTTTTAAGAAGACTAACCACAGGTTGGCAGTTCAGACCCACCAGCTGCTCCTTGAAAAACCTATGCAGGGTCGCTCGGAGTCAGAACCAACTCAATGGCACTTAACAACAACAACAAAGGAGATAATAGAGTCTGTGTTTTAGTTTTTACTTGCTTATAGTGAACCTCTTTTTTTATTTTTTTGCTCTGTACAACAACAATGTTGTTAACAGCTGTGGAGTTGACTCTGACTCATAGTGACACGTGTGCAACAGAACAAAGCACTGCACCATCCTCACAATCGCCGCTCTGTTTATTTGAGCCCATTCCTGCTGCCACTGTGCCAGTCCATCTTGTTGGGGGGTCTTCCTCTTTTTCATTGATCTCCACATTACCATGCATGATATCCTTCTCCAGGGACTGGTCTAACACATCCGAAGTACAACACGTGAAATCCCACCATCTTTGCTTCCAAGTAGCAATCTGGCCACACTTCTTTCAAAACAGATTTTTTTTTTAACTTTTCTATATAATTTCATTCTTCTTGGATCAACTAGCAACACTCACGGAAGCAGCAGTCAAGAAATCAGATGATGTATTGCATTAGGCAAATCTGCTGCACAAGACCTTTTTAAAGTCTGAAGAGCAACGATGTCAGCTTGAGGACTAAGGTGCACCTGACCCAAGCCATATGCATGCGAAAGCTGGACAGTGAATAAGGAAGACAGACCATAGAAGAATTAATGCCTTTGAGTTATGTTGTTGGCGGATAATACTAAAGGTGGCCATGGGCTGCCAAAAGAACCAATAAACTGTTTTGGAAGAAATGCAGCCAGAGTGTTCCTTAGAGGCCAAGATGGCCAAACTTCGTCTCTCACGCTTTTGACATATTGTCAGGAGGCACCAGTTGCTAGAGAAGGATATCATGTTTGATAAGGTGGAGGGTCACAGAAAAAGAGGAAGACCCCCAACGAGATGGATTGGCCAAGGGCAGCATCGATGGACTCAAGTGTAGCCACAGTAGTGAGGTTGGTCCAGGATTGGGCATTGTTTCGTTCTGCTGTGCATAAGGTCACTGTGGGTTGGTACTGACTCGAAGGCACATAACAACAACAACAACAACAATATTTTAAAATTATATAGAGAAATTTTCCAGAGTGTGTGTATATACTATGACTTCTTGTATCGGTTGTCTATTGTTGGACTCTTTTAAGATTTTGGCCCAGTTTTTCATTATTAAAAATAATACTGAGCTGAATGTCTTACTGTAGGGATGGGGAACCCGTCTTTTGTCAAAATTGATAACATCATTTACGGGCCATACAAAACTATCAACTTAAAAATTAGCCTGCTATATTTGGTCAAACATTTAATTAACTCACCCCTAGAGCTCTAGGTTAATGCACTGGATTGTTTGAACTGTAAGGTTCGCAGTTCAAGCTCACTAGCTGCACCTCGGAAACCCTATACAGGGTCGCTATGGGTTGGAATTGACTCTGTGGCACTTAACAACAACAAATGTGATAGCTAAGGAGTTCTGTTAGCGTAGTGGATTGCGAGCTGGGCTGCTAACCACAACGTCAGCAGTTCCAATCTACCAGCTGCTCCGCAGGAGAAAGACGAGACACTCTACTCCTGTAAATATTTACAGCCTCAGAAACCCAATACAGGGTCGTTAGGAGTCAGAACCGACTCTGTAGCACTTAACAACTATGATGGCTGGACTATCTGGTGTGGCACTGTAGGATAAGCACTCCACCAGAAAGTTGGTTTGAACCACAACGTCAGTGGTTCAAACTCACCAGCTGTTCTTGGAAACCCTATACAGGGAACATACTCTACGGCCCTTAACAACAATACCAGTGTGATTCCTGGATCTGCGGTTGCCTTGGCAGAGCCAGACAAAATGGTTTTGTGGGCCTTATACGGCTCACAGGCCGGACTGTGCCCACCTGTCTTAGTGCACGCAGTTCTTTGTATTCATTATTTTCTTAGGGTCATAATGTACAATGTATTTGCTGTGGGAATGACTATAAACTTAAAAAAAAAAAATCTTCGCTAGTCTGAAAGACAAAAAATGTATTTTGGTTTAGCTTTGTAATTGGATATTGGTAGTGTTTATTGACCATGCTTCTTTATTAGTGTGACTTGCCTAATTATATCCATTACCTGTATTTACATTGGGTGTCCATGTTTTTATTTTGATTTGCATGGATCATTTTATTCGAATGTAAATTGTTTGTTGTATGCTGAGATATTTCCCCCAGTTTGTTTGGTATGTTCCTTTCCTTTAGCCACTGCCCCATGAAAAACACACTTTTCCCCGGAGTTGCGTGCTGCCCACACCTCTTCGTCACCATTGTTACTGGCTGTGTTCATTGTGTCGGTGTGCCATCGTTTACTGTATTAGCCTCAAATTCTAGTGGTCCCACAGGAAAGCTTAAGTGGTCATCTGGTACTTTGGGTTTCAGTTTTTGTGTCTACTTTCTTTCTTTTCCAGATGCTAACCCAGAGGTGACCATGACAATGCTTCGCTGGATCTATACTGATGAGTTGGAGTTCAAAGAAGATGATGTGTTCCTGACTGAACTGATGAAACTAGCTAATCGGTTTCAGCTCCAGCTCCTTAGGGAGAGGCAAGTCACAGCAGATAGATTCAAGCACCTCACATGGTGATGGCTGAGCTTGAATTATGCCAGGCTCTGGGAAAACAACCACTTCTGCTAATGTAAATAACTTTTGCGAGGTGTTCTTTTAAAGTCGATGGTGGGGAGAGAATTTGTCACCCTGGTGGCACAGTAGTTAAGTGCTGCTAAATAAAAGTTGGCGGTTCGAAGCCACCAGACACTCCATAGGAGAACGATGTGGCGTCTGCTTCAATAAAGATTTCAGCATTGGAAACTCATAAGGAGCAGTCCTAGACTGCTCGTCGGGTCGCTGTGAGTCGGAATCAAGTCCATGGCACTGGGTTTAAGGAGATAAATATATATGCTAACCTTTTTTTAAAGTATTTGTATTACCTTGCAACTTATTCTAGGCAAAATGCCCTAGAGTGTCTGTTGGCAATGTGGCCTGTGGTGGTCAGCTTAGTTGATGGAATGTCTTTTTGCAACACTTACTGAGCTTTTGTATTCTCTGGGACTACGAGGTGATGGCTTTTCTCTTGGGTGGGTGAAAGGATGGTTTCAGTTGCCGAGGGACCCCCACTTGTTGCCATGTTGCCCTCAGAGACCTTGCTGTCTAGAGCCACGCTTGCCCAGCTTTTCCTGCTGCGTTGATGTTTCCCATGGGGTGGCCCGCTGTGCACTGCAAGAATCAGTAGACATGTCACCCTGACTGCCTGTAATTGACGTGGGCTCAAGAGCATTTTGTACCTAAATCAGCACTGTAGACAAGAAGGTCTGAACTGAGGAGGCTGTGCAGTGAATGTTTCTGTCTTTCCTTCATGTATGTGTGCTTGTTTTGGTGAGTTTCTGAACTGCTTAAGAGGGGAGTGAGAATGATTTTAATTAAATTGAATGTGATTTATATCTTTATTTTTTTCAGATTTGCTGCTCTTTCTCTCTTTGATCTTGCTAAACTTGCTCATAAGTTAAATTGCTTTGATAAAAATGTCCTTTGGTTGAAGTAGTCTAGATAATTGTAATCTGTGTAATGGATTCTTTAATTAAAATGCTTGTTATTTATTGGCTGATTAGGATTCCTAACTATCAACATTACCAGATGCTCGGCTTTTGTATTGTTGGATGTGGGTATTAAGCTTTTATGTGTCATGGTTTTGTTAAGTACCAGAACAGAAGAGACCCAGGAGTGGAGTTGAGTGGTGGCTTTTAAAAGGTCGCAGAGCGCCATCTGCTGTCTGCAGGGGACATTACACATTCAAGTTAGGAAATGAAAGGGCCCTGACAGAAGCGTGCAGTTTTAAATATGAAGCAAGGCTGCTTGTTTGTGTAACTTAGGGGTTTTAGTGGTTTGGAATACCACCAATTTTATGAAAAGAAAATATTTTTGGGTAAGTATTATCAGAAAACAATCATTTTTTCCCCCCTGTAAAAAAGAGAATTATAAAAATGACAGTTCACAATACAGCTGTTTTCCTGGTTGTAACAGTATCAACCAGGTGCAGTGCATGGTATTTGGAAATGGTGGAAGAGTATAAAAAAGAAACGAAAAGCCATCTGTGCAGTCACTGTTAACCTTGTTAGTTTAAAAATTAGGTTTATTGTGTTCGTGCCTCTGTTTGTATACATTTTTAGGTTAATATTAAGACCACATATTAACAACAACAGCAACTTCTCTTCAGAGGAAAGCTCACCTGTCTTGCTACTTTTCAGGGAAGATTTGACTTGAGACTCTTCCTTGTAAATGAGATGGCGTGTTCTTCAGCTGTGCGAATCCTATTGGTGTCCATTTCTAGGCTGTCCAAATGTTGAATGGCCCTCCAGACAAATCCCAGTGTTCAGTGAAAATGAAGTATCTGCCAGTTTTAACAAAACATCTCTCCTTGTGAAACATATTTGAGTCCCTGGGCACGATGTCATTGAACAATAAAAGAGGAGAATGGGATTTTCAGATTCTCAGCATCTGTCTGTAAAAGCACTTTGTAAAGTGCTCTCCAAAAGGCAGGCAGTTCACCATAAGGCTGCCCCCTGTCAGGAAGTAAAGACCTTAGGAGATTTGTTATGCAAGACAGTAAGCGTTTCATATCTCTGAAAAGATGATTTTGCTCTGATTTCATAGCTGAGGTCAGAGAGACTTTGCCAGATGTTGCTGTGGTGTGGTATGAGTTTGAGGATTTGAGGGAAGCCTGCATAAGGGGAGCGGAGGCTCAGAAAGATAATATTGTGATATGGCGCTGTAGGTAAGCGCAGGATCACAAGTCGGTTTGAATTGTAAGGTCGGCAGTTCAAACTCACCAGCCGTTCCTTGGAAACACTATAAAGGGTCACTATGAGTCATAACCCTCTCAGTGGACTTAACAACAAAAAATGTAACCTACACTGTTACTCCGTCATTTAGCTATTGTAATAGTTTGATTTGAAGATGCCCTGGAATTATGTTTCTTTGTGCCTTGTCAGCTGCGTTAGTCAGAACAAAGCACCCAAGTGCAAGTCTTCGTGTAAAGCAGGCACCTGCATTTATAACAAGATGGAGAGAGGTTCCCAGATTGAGTACTGGACTCTCACCTGATGTCTCCGGTGTGTCCTTGTAAAAGTTTATTCTTCATTCTTCTAGGTGTTTTTTCCTGACTTTCTTTTTTCTCCCCTATTTCCCACTTCCAAGGTCTTTCCCCAATTTTCTTACTTAAGCTCACCTGTTAAAATTGGGAATTTATCCACTAGCCAATGAGTTACTTTTATTTATAATGTAATGAAACTCATTCATATTCATGATTGAATTATACACTTATTCATGATTGAATTGTACAATTTCCTTGTACACTTTCCCCTTAGTAAAGGAATTTCAGGACTTAGAGAAGAGGAGGCCAACAGGGGTCCTCAGACTTACAGAGCATCTCTCTTATGTGCTAAAGTATATGTGGTGGTTGTTGGTGGTTATATGCCATGGAAGCGGTTATGACTCATAGCGACCCTGTACGAGGTTTCTGAGGATGTAAATCTTCATGGGAGCAGAAAGCCTCTTTATTGTGGATTGAGTGTAAGTTTACAGGGCAGATCATAGTTTTACATTTAGCAAATCATACAACTTGTTTCATCACAATGATTACATT